CTTCTGAAGATGCAAGCCACACGTGCTTGCGAAACGTCAAGAAGAAATTCTACCGAACGACGGCCTAAAAACCCGAAAAACCCACTTGTTTCAGTTTCAGTATTTTTCAAGTTTGTTATATCCGGACTTAACTGTATTTCGATAATAAAATCTAAAATTTACGTCAACTCAGTACTTAAATGGCGACTGCAAGGGCGATACGATACATTTTACAGCTAAAACCATTAGTACACGAGCGAACAATCACTTGAAGTCTAATCAAATAATTTAAGAGCAATTCTAAGATGATTCGTATGAAGTTTGGTGACTTTTTCAATGAAATGTTTGTTTTTGCGGTGCCGGAGCACTATAATTAATTTTATTTCAGCTGCTTGTAGACTACCTATATTTGAAATCTTTCTAGGCGTATAGTTCATTTTCAAAACATATCTATGTTTTGGAAAATACGGATACATTTACGTGTTTTCTATGTAAATAAAAATGGTTAAAATTGAGTTTGAGCAACAGTCGTTCTTCTGTGGAAATTTTCTAATCAACCAAGGAAAACCAAACCATAATAAAATTGTATGTCGTAAGCTTATCTCAATAGCAAAATTCGTTAATTTTGATAATAATGTGCATTACTTATCAGCATATCAAATAGCAATCAAAAGCGTCATGTCGCACGGCAGCACGCCCATGCAAACCGCAGAAGCATTTATTACTTTAATATAATGCACCAGTTAAAATAGCAGTAAATTTTGTTGGTCAAAGTTTGGTCCAAAAGAAAAATTAGTTTTCCAATTTGAAAAAACTCATATTTGTCTATTACGAAATTAAAACTTATTATTAATAAAGAAAAATAACTAAAGCAACTTCTTTTCTTCTTTCTGAATTGCTAGAAAGTAGCTGTGCATACAAGTGTGCTTAACACTTAGAAATTAAGCTAATGCTAAAAAAACGGCGCTGTGCTTAGTTGGGAGCGCAAATTGTGGTATCCTAGTAGGTATCTCATCGCCATTTTTTGGCAATAGCCCAAATGTTTTCCATAACGACAATATTTTCCTACATAAACAACAGCCTGCTTGCTTACGCGTGGAATGCTTGGAATACGATGATTGTTTCAAAAAATCCGTTTAACTAAAATAACAAAAATCTCATTTCATCCCGTTGTCGGGTGGGCGTGATGTACACTGGATCACCTGACCGTATGCACGCAATAAATATTATTTAAAAGTAAACTAATACGACATTTTAATTGAGTACAACTGCTTGAACAAACATATGGAAAACAAACTTACCTAAAGCCAATCGGCCAACTTTGTCGGCAGCAATTCAATGTCTTTCATTTCCAATTGGAACGATAGGTAGATACCTATGTGATGTTTTATAAATTTGACGGTCTTGTTTTACCATTGCTATAAAAGCATTTCAATAAACATTTTACTTCATCTGGCGGGTACATTAAACTGTTTCACTGAAGGCCATTATTTTGTCGGATTTTACCGAGTAAATGTTGGTGTTGAAAATATAAAAATTGATTGTTTTTGTTGAACACTCTGTAGAATGCTTCTTGTTATAGTGTGGAAACGTATGATGAATTTCTTTAGTATGATAATTTTATAATTATTTCTTCAGTGTTGCCCATAAAGCCTTTACTGGCAGTAATTAATTAATAAGCATTACAAGTGAAAATGTACTGAAATTTACCTAATCAAGTGATGACGTGTGAAACCACATGTATGTCGAGCCTCCTCCGTTCGGCGTCGCATGTTTTGTCCAATTGAGCAAAAATAACTGAAGCCTGTTGTGCTTTGTGAATTACGTTTAGTTGTGCAATACATATATTCTAAGATTTTAATTTGATAACTGAGGATGGGATTAGTGCAATCTTGATTTTTCGCAATTTGGAGGTGCTAGATTTTAAGCGAACAGGTAAGCACTTACGACAATTTCTAACGGGTTTTCCCGACGATAGTTAATCGAGTTGTTTTCCGGAAGTATTCTTATTATTCATACCCATAGGATAATACTGCCAATACTACTGAAAACTTAATTTTCATGTCTACAAAGACTAAGTGTTTTTTTTGCTAAATGAAATCAGGGTCAAGACAACATATGCATGTAGATGTCCCTATCGAATTCGCAAGTTGATATCTCGCGGTCATTTTCATTCCGGTTCAAGACAATGGATTATAGGTAATTCCGTACTGAGCTTGCTTGGTGTGATACCTATCTACTATACGTATAGGTATATCTGTATGCTACGTTTAGTGATTTGCAAATATAATTCTGGGAAATATGCACAACACGTTGAAACATCTGGCAAGAATAATACATGGTCAGACTTTGACCAAAGATAAAAGGCAAAATAATTGCAAAAATTCTGTTGAAAGGTGTGTCGCTCCCAGCCAATGAAATCGGCTAAGTAGAGGGGCTTGTCTCAACGTCACAGACTACGTCAATGCTTGCTCAACCAACTAAAGTAAAATGTACATCACCTGCTCAGTTGATTTATTCAGTCGGTCAGTCGCGAGTACCTTACAGTCAGAACACAGTGGAGACGCGGTTAGCTCAGTACAGTACAGTACAGTACCATTTCTTTACGCGCGTTAATTTAAATTGCTTTAAACTTGGCACTGATTAGTGGTGTGGTATATTATTTAAACAGTGAGGGGGACTGCGAAATTTATGAGCTCTTTCTTTGCAGGAATGAATCTGTGGTTGTGCCCATCGGTCACGTAAATCTCTATTAACTGCAGTGTTTTATTCATCAATTTATAAAAAACGTCACTTTCAACTTTAACTATTTATATTTTTTATATCCAAGACTGAAAATGACGCAGAATAGCCGTTGCATAATAAAAGTGACTTTCTGTGTAGTGATACTAGTCAGCTTAGGCCAAATTGTTAGTTGTGAACATGAAGACGCAGAACCAACATGTTTTAGGTAAGAAGTTTTAAAATGTTTATAAATTGCTTGCCTTTGTTAACAACTGAATCGCAGTGATCAAGTTCAAAATACGGGACTGAACTTCAGATGTACTATTTTAAAAAACGGCCTGAAGCAAATGATTACTCATAACAAGAAATTCTGCACATAACACGGCAAACGAGCGTACCTGTTACAAGGCATATAGCAGCCAGCATATTCAGACCTTCGCGCTGATGTAAATGACCGTCTTTCTAAAAGTCAGCAGACGCAAAAATATTTTCTAAATATATTCACATGGCAACGTAATATTTTTGTGACCTAAGGGCCCGTTTCTCCTACTTGTTGGCTGCCAGCCAATTTAATGCGATCTATAATTGTTTCAGTGAAATTTATTGTCATGGACGACTACTTGATACGATACAAATGGCAAAAATTTATCCGGATTCAAAGAAATTCGTCGACATGAAAATGAAATACTCACCAAATGATACTCTGGCCAAATTCGATCTTTTTATGTCAGATTTTAAAGAGAAGAAGCCTACTAGAGAGGATGTTCAACATTTCGTCGAGCTTAATTTCGAAGCAGAAGGACAAGAATTTGAAGACTGGCGTCCAGAAGATTGGGTGGAGCATCCCAAGTTCCTGGATAACATTCAGGATCGGGACTTTCAACGCTGGGCGAAAAAACTCAACCATATTTGGACAACTCTAGGGCGAAAGATGAAAGACGAAGTGAAAAGCCATCAAGAACATTACAGTATTATTTGGATTCCTAATCCAGTCATTGTCCCGGGCGGAAGATTTAGGGAATTTTATTATTGGGATAGTTACTGGATCCTTCAAGGGTTGATGCTCTCGGAAATGCATCATACAGCTCGAGGAATATTAGAGAATTTCCTTTATATAGTCGAAAAATATGGCTATATACCAAATGGTGGCAGAATTTATTATCTCGCACGCTCCCAACCTCCACTTCTAATACCCATGGTAAACATGTATTACGAATTCACTCGAGACGCGACTTTTATACAGCAAAATCTTCCGACATTGGAGAAAGAATTTGATTACTGGATGACTAATCATTCGAAAGTAGTACATCTAGACGGAAAAAATTATACTCTAGCAGTTTATGGAGACAGGTCTCAAGGACCAAGGCCTGAATCTTATTCGGAAGACGTTGAAAGCTCCAACATTTTTAAGGAGCAAAACAAAAAAGAAGCTTACTATTCCGAGTTGAAAGCTGCTGCCGAATCAGGCTGGGACTTTTCAAGCAGATGGTTTATTACTAATGCTACCAACAAAGGTAATATTGAAAAAACGATTGCAATTGCGAACATCTTTATATTCCTATAAAATTATCGATTTCAGGAAATCTTACAAACATCAAAACGCGATCAATAGTGCCCGTAGATCTAAACGCTATGATTTATTGGAATGCGGTTCTGCTAGCTGACTTCAATAATTTGTTTGGAAATGCTGAAAAGGCCAGATATTACAGCGATATCGCTGAACAATGGATAGAAGCTACAAAGGCTGTTCTATGGCATGAAGAAATAGGCTCCTGGCTAGATTACGACTTGCATAATCAAGTCAAGAGGGATTACTTCTACCCTACTAACATATCACCTTTATGGACTGGCTGTTACGATAAATCAGAAAAGGACAGCATCGTTCGAAATGTGCTCAAATACTTGCAAAATAAGAAGATTCAGTACCCGGGGGGCGTGCCCAGCTCAGTGGAGCATACAGGGGAACAATGGGACTATCCTAATGCTTGGCCTCCACTCCAACATATGATGATTGTCGGCTTGAACAATACAGGCGATGAATATGCTGTGCGGTTGGCGTATGAATTAGCTGAATCTTGGGTGCGGTCTAACTACAAAGCTTTCAAGGAGAAAGATGCTATGTATGAAAAGGTAAGAATTGCTCTTAATGTCATCAAAGAAAGAGTGTTTGTCTTTCATATCGGGCTTTTTTTGCATGAGATCACCACCCGCCAGTGAATATCACATACTAGTATAAGTAGACATATCAGATTTTTGCCGGATTTATCTTTATTCTTCTTAAATTCAACGTCTACTAAAACCGGGTAGCAAAGAGTAGGTAAGATTGATTTTCCGAAATTGAAATTCCGAATCCGAAAAAAACATTGTCGTTTTAGCCCGATAATTGTGGTTTCTCCTATGTGTGTGGCACTATTTCGAGACGTCCTTATAATACACTTAGAAATGTTGTCTGCCTTAAAAGTAATTTGTAAATTGCTGTTTCCGATTGAAGTAACGGTTTCATTGTGACCTTGCCACGATAAAGACGTAAAAATGCCTCGAAAGTTTCAGATTTGCGTGTCCCGATAGTCACTTGCCAAATTTATTTGTTTATTTTTGTATGTATTATCTGAAAAATGTACATATGTTTCTGTCTAAATTAGCTATGTTAAATTGTATCTGTTTATTTATTTTAGTCAACCGCAGATTCGCACCAAATTGTAATACGTATCAAATACGAATGAAGGTTTCTAGGTGTCAATTAGCTTAACAAGCCATATGAGGCTAGCGTGTCGGTAGAAAAAATTACTCAAAATTTTATTGAACAATTGCTCTTTCAGTTGATGTGAGTTGATGACGTGCTATTTTTAGAATAATGTGTGATTATGTTTTTACAACACTGCACTTCGTTTCTTCTTGTTACATTTGCTAAGCAGTTCGTTTATTTTACAGCTTTTTCCAATAGCAACTTAATAAACAAATGATATAATGTCACGGTTTGGCATTTGAATAAATTGTAGGCATCGGTCGTACAGAAAGACTTTCCCCTTTTTAGATGTAGTTTGCAATTTTTGATTAAAAACTAACAATTGCTATTTAAATTGGCCATGCCAACGAATGTATGTCATACAGTATGACTTGTTTAAGCGGATTTTTTGCGTGTTATGTTATAATATTGTTCGTAATATCGTTTGGAAATACCCAATTAGTATTACTACAGTCAGTGACGAAGGACTTGATTCAGTGTTCACTTTGATAGAATTTAATTGGATATACCTACGAGACTGCACAAAGATACTCTACTATTTCAACAAAATTCAAATTCAAAAGGAAAACAGTCTCCCTTTTGTTCTAGTACGACTCCACCGTATTCGGTGTAGGCGGTGGTGGAGGAGAATACGAGATTCAATTAGGTTTTGGTTGGAGTAATGGTGTAATCATGGACCTCCTCTACCGATACTCAGATGTATTAACAGTCGATGACCCGTCATTACTTTTGACATCAAGCGTCCAGGAAGCGAAGGTTTCCAGTTCCGGTATTAGTTCAATTACCACAGCACTAATAGCTTTATTGGTGTCCTTGTCCGCAGGATTCATAGGGTGAGGTATGTCAACTTTTGTTTCCTTTAGATAAACATATAAACTGTCACATTTATATGACTGGTATCCGACTTCATACTTGTCATACGACTTCATATTGATTAACTTTAGGAACTTTCTTCCTGACGCAGTTGTGGACGAAACCACAACTGCGGTGGACATTTTCAAAGGCGATGAGGCAGTGGGCGAAGTGATCTCCCGTGCTTTCCGACTAAGACTGGTTCAACTACTGGATCCC